AGAGCTATGTGAGATAAGTAGCCGTTCGTGCCGCATCTCTCAACTTTTTTTCTATTGAAAGCGCAGCTTCGAAAGAGCCGGAGAACGGTGAGTGCTGCATTGTGCATAGCAATACGAAGGGGTGGATGAGTGGCTCGCGTCAACGAGCCCAGATTAGACTGAGAAGCCGCGGAGCATCTCTGGCTATACTGTGCGACTTCCCTCCCCAGCGTGGTGCTACGCCACATGTGGTGTCTGGGTCGGATCATCAACAGAAGTTGTAAGTGTTCCGTCAGTCTGTTCGCTGCAATGTTCGCGGGTGTACATGTATGAAATTGACATTAATCCTACTGGACGGCATGCCCTCTTGTTCGCAGGCTGCAGCACTGCTCGCTTAGCGGTACGTCTGATGAGCTGCGAACAACACAGTTCACTGCGGAGAGTCATGGCCGAATATCAATCTTCTAGGTAGATTCATGCCGGCATGCATTTCTCGCGATTGCTGTCAGGAATTGGAGGGTATCCTACCAAAGGCCAGCGGCACACAGATTATCACTGTCCAAATGAGACTTGTCGTCCGCGCGCATGTCTAGGTACGTAGTTCAGATGTAATAATATAGCAATTGACGTCTCAAGAATGGCCATAGGTCATTGGCTGCAAGCCTTGAGCACCATGTAGCCCGCTTCCATGCTAGGAGAAGGAGGCTCGCGGAAAGACAAATATCACTGGCCAGCACTCTCTCGCGAGACTGCGCGAAGACACAACATTCGACAGAACTGCACGGCCGCTACGCAACCCATTTGGGCCGGCCCAAACACCGGCTCGTCTGTCCTAATGGCACGATTTTCTCTCTGGAAAGTGCGCGTCTTGCTTGCACAATTGGTAGAAGGCTCACTAGTCCGCTTCAGCTCTGGTCTTCCGTCATACTCAAAATCGCATAAAAGCAGGGTCGCTGGTACCAGTATAGCAGCACACTTGAGCCATGTCTTCTACTCCTCGCTCTTTCGTCTTGCCTGACCTCTTGGCTCTATTCCCGTTCAAGGCTTCCATAAATCCTCACCACGCCAGTGCAGCCGCAGCTTCGTCGGCCTGGGTCGACAGCTACAGGATTTTCCCCGACAGAAAGCGCGCCGCCTTCACCCAAGAGTGCTATGAGCTACTCGTCTCGTACGTCATCCCGAATGCCGACCACGAGCACCTCAGGATGTGCTGCGACTTCGTGAACCCCCTGTTCGTCATCGACGAGGTCAGCGACGAACAGGATAGCGCCGGTGCTCGCCGCACCGGCGACGTATTCCTGAACGCCCTGCGCACCCCAGGTTCGGACGACGGTTCCGCGTTGGCGAAGATGACCATCGAGTGAGTCCTCTGCCCGCTCAGGCCGTTGAGCCGTCGGCTGATGCACCGAACAGATTTAGAGCCCGGCTGCTCCAATGCGCAGGTCCGGGCTGCGTCCGACGCTTCTTCAAACACTGCGAGGACTATATCGACGCAGTAGCTCAGGAGGCCGAGCTCCGAGGACGTGGGGTTGTCCTTGACATGGCCTCCTACGAAGCGTTGCGGCGCGAGAACAGCGCGACACGCCCGTGCTTGGTCCTCACCGAGTCCTGCTTGGGCATAGAGCTCCCGGACGAAGTCCTCGACGATCCGACATTTATGTCGTTGTATTGGGCTGCGGTGGACATGATCAATTGGTCGAACGTGAGTCGCTCCTGCTGAATTTTCCGTTGCACTCTGACACCTCGAGCAGGACATCTATTCATACAATATGGAACAGGCGGCGGGGATGAGCGGTAACAATGTCGTCACGGTGCTCATGCACGATGAGAACACCGATGTGCAGACCGCCGCCGATCGCGTGGGAAGGCTCTTCGAGACACTCATGGACCGCTTCGTGCAGGCTCAGAGCCAGCTGCCGAGCTGGGGCTCCGCCGTCGACCAGATGGTCCAGAAGTATGTGAAGGCGCTGGAGTACTGGATTGTCGGGAATATCGAGTGGAGCTTCGATACTCAACGCTACTTCGGCCCGCTGCACGCGGAGATCAAGGCGTCCCTTGTCGTCCCCATCCGCTTTTGTAAACAGACTGAGGATGATGACTCAATATTGGGTTAGTGATGTCCTTATTGCAGAAAGTACATGCTGGCGATGGCTGATCGTATATCACATGCCTTAGCCTTGAAAGCCACCTCTCTCCACCGTCAAAGAGACCATCTTTAGACCCCAAACAGGGGAGACTACGCCGTATGTAGGATTCTATTGATTTCTCTTCCCCCCCCTTTTGTAGAGAATTGGGCTGTGAATGCCCTTCGTACGATGCACGATTAGGTTTTCTTGCGCTCCGAGACTGTCCCCTGCCTTGAAAAACAGATCCTATTGGCATTCGATGATGTTATTACTACTCCTTAGACGCCATAGAGCACCACCCTGCGGCAGACTCACAGTCAAATTATTACGCGATTTACGAGTTACGAGTTGATCACGGGAGAGTATGCTAATTACAGCTCGTCGACGTCTACGTTGAATATCGAACGTTCGAACGTTGAACGTCGAAGGGGGTGGTTGAAGAGCATAGACGGAAACGAAGGAGCGCCGCCGGATGAATGAATCTGTAGGCTTTGCGTTTATTCAAGTTGATCCAGCCGGATGCACAGCCCAAGTCATTCGATGCACATGGAATAAACCGGCCGAACCCGCTCTGGCCACTCCTGAACGTTGAAAAGGGTGACTCCATCTTAATCAATCACCAAAGAAGTGATTGATTCAAGACAAGTGAAGGCAGCGAGTAAGCCAGTCAATTGTACAAATTGTTCATATTCCTAGTGAGTGTAGTCGGCGCCTTTCAAGTTGAATCATCGTAACACATCGTAGTGCGTGGCGTCAGTCTAGTCAACGACAGCTGTGTGTACTAGTACTAATAATGTACGAGGGACACAACACACAACGGGTGATCTGCGGGAAAGTTAGCTGGAGATTGAGTATTGAGAATGTCAGACATAGGGAACGTCTTTGGGTGGAGGACTCAGATACTGGGGACTCGGACTTCAAGCTTCAAGCTTCAAGTTGGTCATTCCAATTCATCGCCATAGTACAAGAGTCTGTTAGAGAGACGGACGAGGTTGTATGCCCATGTCATTCTACCCCTGGTCCTGCCTACCCACACGTTTCAGCGTCAGAATACGGCTTCAATCAAGGTAACGCGGACGGCCGCAGTACTGACCTGCGCGATGTACTAAATCGCCACACGAATCCACCATCGCGGCTCTTGGTCAATTCCAGCCCGAGCAATGTGATCTTTGATGGTATCGAATTGGTACTGATCAGGCCTCGCCTCGAAGTCCGTGTCTTTGCAGATAGATAAAATGTTAGCTTCTATATCTCCACATTCTCTCGCGGCCTGTTTGACAGAGTCAGGCGCGTCGTCATCGATGACGCCAACATGATTCTCGAGGTAATATTCAATCTTGTCCGAGAGCGCATCAAGCACATCGGAGGAAACCGCCGCCACGTTATCTTCCTTCAATTCTTCGTCGGTTGGTACCCTCGACCAATGGAAATTCGTCCACAACTGCTTCCACTGGGTGTCGGTGAGGGCGAATCCGAGTAGCAGTGGGCTGTTCTTATATTTATTCGATCGAGGCGGAGGTGGATTGATGTCGGCTAGTGGCTTAGGCGATGAAGTGAGTGGCTGCGAACTTGAGCTGGCGCGGGCTGGCCAAGAGGAGGACTGGCTTTGCGCACTGACCTATAGAAATTGTTGATATGTTAATGATTCAGAACACGCGAAAGGACTGACTAGCAACTTACTGGTGGTGAAGCATCCATACTGCAATAGTTTGATGATAGACTTGACACTTAAGTGGCAGATGTTCCAGCGCAAGCCTGAGTGGGACGTGCTTGAGTGCCGCAGCACAATTTCGGTCAGCGCATATTTATGCACGAGTCCCAGAGCACGTGAGGCTGACCGCCACATCTCTTCGTTCTGGCCACCAATGATACAGTTCGTATTGGTTGTTGTGAGTGTGTTCTTGATTCCTGAAGCTTGAAGCGGAAGACAAAAAACACAAGGGCCTTATTGTTGCCAGTGGAGTCAGTGGAAACAAGAAGAATTTATTATTCAATTATCCTGAGACAGGAACTACGAGGATCTATTGTCAGGCTGTGTGTTTGATCCCTCGTGTGATCACGGCATGTGTAGCCTGCTGGCGGCGAACAACATGAAGTAGTCATGGTGTCACGGTGTGTTTGTAACACTGGGTGACGAACACTCTACGTATTTAAGGCGGCCGACCCAACAGCATGGCACCAGATACACGCGTTCACCCACTTTCCTTCACAACTCGAGTCTACCTCTTTTTGAGACCTGAAGATGCTTCCCCAACAAGACACCATCTCTCAGCCTCCTACTAGTAGGCGTAAACCCAGCCACTGGGCTGGTCAAATCAAGCTGGAGGACAAGTTCCCACTAATCAAAGAGATGATTGTCAGCATGAGCGCTGTTCATAGCAAGAACGACATACGTGAAGCAATGCTCTATGGCCTATATAATGCTGTCATGACATATTTTGCTCGGAACACAACACGAGTGACATCTTTATGTTCGCCCCAATTTGCCCTCCTACGACACATAGACACTCCCGACGCTTTGGAAGAACTTGAAGAGGAGCCCTACGACGATGTGACAATGACTTCTAGCCACGATTTCCATGATCAGCCGGCTGACGAACCCTCCGCCGATAACGACTCACAATCAGACGTGGAAGCCCACCTCGAGACCTTGGCTATCTCTTCCGATGACAGAGCTGGTGATAGCAATGTGGAAGCAGGGAAGGAGGTGACCCCTGTGCAAGGTGCGTCAACTAATGTGCCGCTGAGGCCGAGTAATGCGGGGCTGAGATGTCTATTCTGTCGCACCTTGCGTACATCAGGCGTACCTCAGACGAAGATCAGAACTCAGATCACCGACTTTGCTTTGATTGCACATAAGCACCACGTATACAAGAATGGAAGCAAGCAACTGACCTTGGTCGGGACAAGGTTGGCATTGATCATGGAAATCAAAAGGCCTGTAACGGGGACGAGGCAAACATTGAAGAGGAGATTGACCACCAAAGTTTCCGAAACAATTCGTCAGGCCAGGCAGCAAGCGCGATGTGCGCTACACTCTAGCAACAACTTCTTCACGGTAGCTTCGCAGGGCGTGCTGGGCGTAATCATCGGTGTTGGCTTCCATTGGACATACATCGAATTTGACAAGGCAACCATAGGGGCCAGCGATTCCTCGGGGTCGGACGCAACTTACGAGTCAGAATCCGAAAAGGAAAGGCGGAAGAATGTCAGCACAATATATCCACCTTTTATGAGACAGTATGGAACGAGCAAGCCGGTCATCATGAGCTGGCTTGACCCCAAAGCCTCGTGGCTTAGCGCACTCACGGCGGTCAAGAAGCGAACATACGAACTAAACGGAGATGTCTTCATGCAGGACAAGGGTGCGATACTTTCATTGCGCACCATTGGATGCTGTTTCTCATTTCCAATCAGACCTTAAAGAGGAACAGAAGTAGTAAGAAGAGGAAGCATCGACACGGACTGGTCAGGAACCTTGTCGCGGTACTTACGAAGACAACACAATTCGTGACATGTATGATGCTGGACCCTGGATATTTTGTCATGGCGTAACTTGAAGATATATTGACGAATGTGCCTTATGATGATGCATTCAGAGTATTCCTGTTCAGTGATCCTAGCGTGATCGCAGTCAATTGCGGGTAATATTGAAGTCTTTGCGTACCTTCGGGATCAACATTCAGCGCTCGGCACTCATTTCTATACTGCGTTTCTCATACGTCACCCGACACGGACAGTTTGACACATGCAGCGCGGAGACCATCACGAAGGACGAGCTCTGTCGCTCGAAGAGACCCAGAACCAGCGTGAGCACTGGCGGGGTCGCAAAGCGACCCCACTGCTCCTTCGGACCACTGTAAGCAAGACTCGGAAGTCACGTCTCGCTCCCATCAGCTCCCTCGAAGAGTTTTGAGGGATAGAAGCGAGTGCACTCATCGGTGATTGATCCGTCGTGACAACTAGTCCACAAACGGACTCTAAGTACATGATGTGATACTTTCTGTCCACGCGCGTAGGACGTACGATCTGTTATGCTATATCTGGTTCTGGACTGAGAACCAACATGACACTCATTAGTCTGTTTGCTTGCTTGTTCATCAATGAGACTGGACTCAACCGTTATAGCTTGCCTGAGCGGTGCGAATATTCGGATTTCTGTTATTCAATCTACCGCGGCACAAATACGTTCTATAGCTTGTTGAAACAGACCTGTCTTCCATCTGTATTGGCGGCTCGCTAGTTCTCAACTTGAAGAATCAATAGGCCAGGATGCGACGGCGAATGTCATAAATAATCAGTTGGTCTCGGCACGCTGTGAGTAGGTGACATCGTAGTGGCTCACCTCATCCTTGTCGAGCCCTCAACATTACAACAACGGCCGACTATTCTGTCGTTCGGAATCGACTTTACGAGGAGTAATGTTCAGGTTCGAAGGTGCATATGATTCCCCAGCGTACCTTGTGCGGCGTAGTAGACACAGGCTGTCGCGAATGTTTCGTGTGGCATAGCGCACTCCATAAAGAGGGTGTAGAGTTCAAGAGCCTCCTTGTCGGTCGTAGCCAGAAGAGCTCTCGGAGTCCGGGAAACAAGAAACGAGTGGAAAGCCGAAAACCGAGAAACGAGTTGATGTCGAGCGACTACGCCACTAAGTAGAACGAGAACGACTCGGAGAACGAGACGGATTTAGCAAAATTACAGCTCAGGTCACATGTGACCTCGACCGAAACGCGCTCATACTGCCGCTCAGCGCCCAGCGCTCAGCTCTGAGCCAACCTCGATCCTCCAATAGCCTCCAATGCCTCTACTTACCACTGTGCTGTAGCGTCTCTCAAGGTCGCGCCACAAGGCCAAAGCATACTCGAGGGCCGTCCCATTATGACGGTGATGTATAGCACAAGTACTGGCATACGGTAACGCATACGATCCTCAATAACTCGCCTTCTCCGCCCTTCTCATCCTTCCTGAGTCCCGACCACCGTCTCCATTACTCTCAATTCATGGCAAGTCGCTCAAGCCTCCATTCGCCCATCTATTGTACAACAGGTACGGCGGTCGCAAACCGGAAGCATTCCACCTTGGTATCGTATCGAACAAACACAGCCCGGACCCGTACACGACCGCGCCGAAGCTCGCGAGTTCTAGAGAGAGGAGGAAATCATAGAGAATGATAAGTTACCTATCGTACACCGTCGTCGTCCCCTCTAATCCGCCCGTCTGTCATTCCTCGAGTCCTCAGAAGCATCGCGCGACTCGGACTCAACGCCCCAAGCCCAACAGCGAACTCGGCGTCTCCGCCTGGACGCCTCCGCTCCTCCTCGCGTCCTCCCCCTTCTCCATCGCGTGACCACGTTCACTGGTACGGGTCATCGACATCCTGCGCACCGGCGCAGCGTCCATCGCCTTCGGGAGTGCGAACGCAGGAACGCCCACGCTCGACGCGGAGCTGGTCGGCGCGGAGCTCGACCGCATCGACGCCGGCGAGCCGCTCATCTGCAGCAGGAGCGACGCCGCGTTCTCGTCCTCCGGCGTCCACGTCGGCGAGCGCGAGTGCGCACCCGCGTGGCTGTCGTCCTTCTCCGTCTGCCTCTCCGCTTTGGCGCGTTTGGTTGGCTCGATGGGGTGCGCGGGCGCGGGGAGCGTGAGCGCGGGGACGTCGCGTGCTGCGATGATGTGGGCGGCACGGAAGGGCCCGGAGGGCGGGGGCGAGGGGAGCTGCGAGGCCGTTGTGGTTCGGGAGTCCGAAATAGCAGCGATGCAGCTCGGGTCGACGTAGGGGTGCGGCAACCACGCAGCGATGGACGGGAGGCGTGGGGAGGGCGTCGGGCGAGCGGCAGCGGGGGCGGGCGAGCGCTCCGGGAGCGTGGTCGGGCCCTGTTCGGGCTCTCCGTCGCCCTTCTCGTCGTCGCCCGCATACTCGACGTCCTCGTCGTGCTCGTCGTCGACGCTGACGTCCATATCGACGTCCCGCTCGGCCTGCACCTCCACGGCCTGCTTCCTCTTCAGGCTTGCCGCGGGTCCCGCAACGCGATCACGGGAGCAATGCGGGCAGGCCCCCGCGGCAGCCTCGAGCGTGCGCACCTTCTCGAGGAGCTCTTGCACGTACGTGACGGTCTTGACGAGCACGTCCAGCTTGAACTCCTTCTCCTCCGCCGCCCTGCCCTTCGCCTTTGGTTCTCCAGGTGCTTCCCCCGCGGCCTTGGCCCGCTCCTGCTCGGCTTCGTTGACGAGGGTGCTCAGGGTGGCGAGCGTCTCGTTGATCTTGGTGCGGCGGGCCTTCTCGATGCGGGAGTGGTTGAGCTTGCGGAGGGACTCGCGGGCGGAGCGCGACATGGCTCCCGGCTTCCGGCCGCGACGGCGCTGGGCGGTGGAGCGCGTGTCGGGCTCGTAGTCGTCCTCGTCGCCAGAGTCGGAGTCGAGTGCGTCTCGCGGCGGCGAGCCTGCCCCGGAGATGGGGCTCTTGGGGAGGATGGCCGGCCGGGCACGTCTCACGGGCGCCCGCGACGACGCCGTGTCGTGTGCTGCGCTGAGCGTCGAGTCGGCGGTGTCTGTGCGCGGACGCTTTGCGCGGCGCGGCGGGTTGCAGCTGCCCGTGTACGGCGGGGGTGCGTCCTTGGCTGCGGTCATGGCGGGTCGGGGCGTGGACGGGGGAGCGGGGGCGGGTGAGTGCGCACACGACAGGGCTGAGCGAGGCGGAGATGTCGTGTGGAGGGTTTAATAGGCGGCTGATGGTGCGCCGGTGCGAGAAGCGGGATGCGTGGGGGCAGCTGCGCGACGGGCATGATCGTGCCTCCGACGATTGGTCGTGTGCGGAGGAACGTGCGCCGGGCTGCCCAGCCGCCCTTCGCTCGCCGCCCGTCCCTCGTCGCACGACCGCCAGCGCCGGCCCCCATTGGCTCCCGCGCGATGCACGTGTCGCGTCTCCGTTCTACTCGCCTGCCTTTTCCGGAACGCGGTGTCCAGCCACTCCTCCCGGCCATGCTGCTAGCGCGGCGGTGGCGGCGCGGTGGCCCCTGTGCGACGCTCCGAGTCGGGCCTTGTCTCCTTGCTCGCCTTGCCGTGGGTCTGTGGCCCAGCTCGAGCGCGCCACTCGGAATTTTACCTGGGCCATGCCACGCGCATTATTAGCTCGCACACGATCCCCACCCATGTGCAATGCAGGCGAAGGCGCATACGTACAAGATACGCAGGGTGTTCGCGGTAGAGTCATACGCCTACAAACGTTCATCTTCACATGCTGCTCATGGTCCCGCGCCACCAAGTTTGCTCCTACGGCCGACCGCCATTCTCGCAAGGGCATAGTCTTTGGACGAGACGCTGACTGATAACGCAGCTGTTTCTGGTAGGACGCCTGCCGCCAAACGTGTTCTTCTCTTCTCTGTGCGATCCAGGCCAGCTCGTCATCGGTCTAGAAGTTGGTCGGTACAATGGTGAGCATGTCTTCGGATACCACAACATTGTCTCGTCGACGAATAACGCCCACCGTGCTGGCGCTACCCCGACGAAGCTCGCCATGTCGCAATGAGTTTCTCCGTTCTTGTGCATCGCGTGGTTCTGCCGCACATCCAGTTCCTCGCGCTCACACAGCGGTATGGGAGACGCACCTCACAAGTCACTAAGACCAGAGTCCAACCGAAGGGATTCCTCATATCTGTTGGTCACAGAACGTGGTTCCCTGCTTCAGGACGCTGCCGTGGCCTCGATATGACGTGCTCGTCCGCATCTGGTGAATTTGCAATGGTAGGCTTCGACGCATCGTGGTGAACTCATCTCTCGACGACACGCGCACACCCGCGAATGCGACCGCGCGCTCATGTGCCTCTCGCGCGACGCACTCGGAGCCTTCTTCATTTGTTCTTCAGCGTCTGTTCGAAGGACGAAGTACAGACCAGCGTCCCAGTAGACTATGAAGGGTTTGGGTCTTGCTCATCAGACGATACTACACTTGCTTGCATGCATAACGCGCTGAGATTTCACTTCATACAGATTCCTAGACTCCACCCGCGCAAGATCACGCCCTGCGTCGCGGCCGGACGATGGCATGGTCCAAGAACGGAGACCGGGTCGTAGCATTCAGTCTATTGCCCGCAGTCGTCCCGGAGTGCGAAGGAGCAGCTCCATGAGGGGCTGGGGCCGAACTGAATGTGCGTTTAGGGGTATTCTTCCCTTGCTAGGAAGGGGAACGGAGGCATCAACTGCGCCTCACAGGGCCAGCTCTTAGTCTCTACGATAGAACGCGAATCGCATGTGCTATGACTAAAGTATGGCTTTAACTCTCGATTACCCTCGATGCGTCTGAAGTGGACGAAGGCGCGCAGGCCGGACAGCCTGAGGTATGTATTTCCATTCAATCACGGTACTGATCTATGCCGTCCGCTCATTCGAGGAGTTACATAAAGCATTAGGTCGACAGATGTCGTACAAGAACACAACAAGTGTTGTCTAAAGAGTACTCTGCTCGGGATACTTATAAGAACAATGGTAGCAAACCGGGTCATTCACAGGTCAACCACCCGCCACAAGAGATCGTCCGCGCAAGAACTTCCCCACTTTAATCCGTCTCGAACTCTTCATGGGCGCGGATGGGCACGACACGGGTCCTCTGGATTTCTGCGTGCAGCGGTCCGAAGTAGCGCTGCGTATCGAAGCTCCACTCGAGGTTGCCGATGGTCCAGTGCTCCAGCCCTTCACGTACATTCGGACCGCCTCGTCCACGTCAGAGCCCCAGCTCGGCAGCTGGTCTCGAGCTTCCAAGAAACGATCCATGAGGGCGTCGAAAAGGTCGCCCGCAAGATTGACGGACGCCTGTACGTCCGCGTCCTGCTCATGCATGAGCACTGTGACGATGTTGTTTCCGCCGATGCCTTGCGCCTGCTCTACGCTGTATGAGTAGATGTCCTAAGGGAGAATCCGGTTAGTTACACTCTTGTTTTGCCGAATGAGGACGACACTCGACCCACATTCGACCAGTTTACCATATCCGCGGTAGCCCAATACAGCACCATAAACGCCGGGTCGTCGAAGACCTCGTCCGGGAGGTCGACGCCCAGGCAATATTCGATCAGGGCAAAGCACGGGCGAACCGCACTGTTCTCGCGGCGTAGTGCCTGGTAAAATGCCGCGTCCAGGACCACCCGCGCTCGCGGTATCCGGCCTCCTGAGCCACTGCGTCGATGTAGCCCTCGCAATCTCTCAGAAAACGTCGAACGCAGCCCGGACCCGCGGAGTGCAGCAGCCGGGACCTGAATCTGCTCGCCGCCTCAGTGACCGTGACAGTGGGTTGATAGTCATCATAGGATAAACAAAAGGCTCACTCCCTGGTCATCTTCGCCAACGCGGAGCCGTCGTCCAGGCTGGGTAGCGCAGGGCGCTCAGGAACGTGTCGCCGATGCGGCGCGCGCCGGCGCCGTCCTCTTCATCGCTGATGTCGTCAAGAACGAACAGGAGGTTCACGAAGTCGCAGCACGTCCGGAGCTGCTCGGGCCCGGCGTACGGGTAGGTGTACGAGGCGAGTAGCTCGTAGCACCCTTGGACGAAAGCTGCGCGTTTGCGGTCGGAGAACAGCCGGTGGCTGTGGATCCAAGCCGAGGACGCGGCGGATGCGGGGGCGAGTGAGGGTTCTTGGAGAGCTTGAAGGGGCATGCGGCCAAGAGGTCTGGGTCGGCATGGAC